TGTATCCACTACTAACTCGTGAGTCCTTCACAACTGGTACCACCTTCTTTAAGCCCACTGTGGAAAATTTGACTAGAGACTATAGAATAATGGGGTTGAGTCTGTAGTACTACTGCTGTTTCATGTGATTGTGGTATTTAGATCTATTTTTTCCCAATGTGTAGAATTTTAACATAACACAGGAAATCTAACCTTTCATGCAATGACTTTCTCCAGATATGCTGCATTAAAGGTGAATAACTTGACCCTTGGCTTTTGCAAAGTAATGGAAGATTTCATGTAGCATTTGCATCTTAAAAAATCCTTGTACAGGTTTTGCTTTTATAGTCCATGAAGGAAACCTGTATTTGCTATGATAGAAATATGCTGAAAATGTAACATTTTATTTCTTCGTAATGGATTTTTTTTGCCTTTTTTTTTGTGTTTGCTCGTGCATTAAATCGTTAGAGCATTATTTGCACAAGCAGAAAATTAACATACTAACAAGAGTGCTGCATTTTATGTTTCTTTGTCATGCAGTAAATACTTGCAGCACAAATGGGACTATTTTCAGTTACTATGAACTTGTTTCAAAGGTCTTCGGTACATTTAAGGAGCGCAATATACAATTGAAGTCACCTTATTTTGTATTAAATTATAAATTGTGCAAAGAAGTGGGTATTGTGGCACAGTAATTTTGTACTGATATGGAATATATAGCTATTAAAGCTATGGTTTGCTTTTTAACTCACTCTTTTCATCCTAATGCAAATTTGATTGTTTTTATTAGGTTGTATTTTTCTATGTATATATACAATTTCAAAATACTATGATTGGGTAAACTGAAAAATGTAATTATTGATTTGATTCTGATATTTAGAATTTTGGAATAAAATACCTCTTAATTAACAGAGATTCTGTTGTATGTTTGTTTTTGGTTTTTTTTTTTTTTTTTTTTTTTTTTTTTTTTTTTTTTTTTTTTTTTTTTTTTAGGTGTACTTTTTTAATGCATTTAATTCACAAATAAAATTTCATAGTATATGTTTGTACTCCACAATTATGTGCTAGCATTTACACAACTTTTATGTTCGCACCTCAAGTGGCACCTTGAGTCAAAAAATTTTGTAATCACAAGCAAGAAAAATTATCTACTCACAGACTATATTCTATCACCATAAAACTGATTCCCAACATAAATTTCTACATACCAAAAATAAATATTTTAGGCTTTATAGGTGCCACGTTGCTGTAGAAAATGGTGACATCTTGTCCTCAGGTTAGGAAAATTTTCAGAGAGCTGGAGTTTATTTTCTTGTTGTATTATTAGTCTAATTCTACCTCAGTGTCACGGTTTTTCTGATTACCAGTTATACTCACCTGTGTGAGTGGGTGACAGCAATATTTTGTGTCACAATAAAGGCAAGAACAGTGAGAAGCAAATGTTAGTGCTTGTGAACACTTCAGAAAAAATCCAAACTAGTGAGTTCCCTGGCTTGCTAGTAGAGAATTTGTTAACCTAAAGAGAATAGTAATAAAGGAGACAGAAAAGGTGAAGATCTGATATTTGTGGTTTAATTAATAACTCCCACCGATGTCCCAGCAGCTGCATCTGATGTAAGAAACAGGACAGCAGCAGCCCAAACATGGTTTTAAACATTTGTTCAATACACCCTGCAGCCAGCACAGGCCTAGCTCCTGTTAAATAGATACCTGCAGCTGGATCACTGCATCTGCCTAGCAGTTCCAAATTAATAAATTATTATTGAGAAATTAGTGACAACAGCTGTCTCATTACAGGAATATGGCAAGAGAGTGGTTTTTCAAATTCCCATTTTACAGTGTAGCCACCTCAGGTAAAGTGGTGGCCCATGCCTCGAGGTAATTTGCATTTACACCACTCTACTGGAGCTGTGCTGCTGTACTTCAACTTTTTGCACACCTGAATGACACTTGACAGTGTGCTCTGATCATTAGTTAGTTTGTAAATGAATTGCTAATACATTAATTCTTTATTGCATATCTGTACATTGATATTTTTAAATTGTCAGTTCAGGCATTCTAAAGAACATTGTGAACAATTGGAAATACTTTGAAAAAATATTTACAGGAACTTCTCCTCAATATAATGTCTGATCTACATAAAGAATTAAGGTTAGTGCTGTGAGCTGCCCATCTTCTCACAAGATATTTCACAATCAATCTGTTCTACTGCATCTTCCTGATAAACCTTCTGAAGTCTGGTGCTGCATTATTACCCCCCCTTGACAAACACACAGGACAAAGTTTACAAGACACAAAAGCACAACACACACCTTGCAAATGTGAGAAGCAGAAGAATACTGACAGTCATACACCCCATTAGTAATGTTTGTGATTTTACATGCAGACCAGGCCTGTGTGCTACTGATTTTGAGAGTTTTGCAGAGTCCACACAGACTGACATTTCTGTGTCATTTGTGCACACATTTTCAGCCCTGGCAAGTTCAGTGGCTAATGGCAATGGTTGCAATTTGTTCACAGTTTGAAGAGAGTGTAGCAACCTTTAAAGACTGCAGGAGTTACTGCTGGACACAATTCCTCAAGAAAATACTCAGGTAGTTGAAATAAATTACTACAAACCTTCATTTCTTCAGAGAAAATTTGTTTAAGAAGAACATCCTGATTGTGATTATATTTTTTCTGAAATGAATGGTATTGTGTACCCTAATTTTTCTTAGCAATTTTTCTAAATGTAGTACAGGCAATTAATTTCCACGTTATTCCCCATTTGGAGGTACTTTTGAGAGCTTTTATCACACATTCAACAGATATTTTTCCCCCAGAACTTTATAAATGAATAATTGTTCTTATTAATATCATCAGCATCATTTTAAAATGTTCCAGCTGCCAAGTTGGTTCAACTATTCTTCTGCAAATAGTTAAAAGCTCATGTCTGTAAACGTTTGGAAATGAATTTGTGATCTGCCCTTTTTCAATGCCACACCCTCAGTCACCAGACAAATTCCTGAACAAAGGAAGCTCACAGCAGCAGCAAGTTTTCTGTAGGTCCCTTTCTTCCACCTGGGACCACACGCAGTTGCAGAGAATCCAAAATTAATTGAGCTCTAAGAGTGGCTGTGGAGGAACAGCCACTTTACCTTCGCAGTGCCCACATAAAAGGTTGAAATAGGAAGCTGGGTGAGAGGATGTTAATTAAGCAAATAGGCACTGAGCATGTCTGCTAAACTAAAAAGAGATTTTTTCTTTTTCTTTATGAGCTCCTGGAGGAGTTTCACATCAAATACAATCAAATTATTATTTGCCTGGTTTTTTTGGTCCTTTGCTTCCTTTCAAGAAAGGTCCTATAAAACAAAATCAGGTTTTCATGGCAAAGTTTGTTTTTGGTGTTGATGAAGGAAAAAGTGATTGACAGATTGACAATAAAGAATAGTATTGAGGAGTACCTGCTGAGGAGGATGTGCATTTCCCACTGCAGCATTACCCTGTGAGCAGTGACTGGTCCAAAATGGTGCCAGTGGATATCAGCAACTGCAACAAAAGCAAATTGTATTTTCTATGTCAATCCCAAATCTATTTCAAGTCATTGTTAATGGCAGTGAAGTAATTACATTGTACTGTATAGAATGACATGGAGGCATAAGGAAAAATATATTTTCTTCACATTTTATAAGACATATGTTGAAAATATGCACAGTAACCTGTCAGTTCTTCCTTTCAGTGTGGGCAAATTTATACCCTGCCTGTTTCTCTTTCAATGAAGAAATTTTCTGCAATCTGAAAATTACAGGATTTGGCCTAGTGTGTTACAGTAAATATGTATAGGTTTATAAAATAAACCTTTTATTTGACTGATCTTTGTCAATTCAGGTTATTTCAAACTTTCCAAATAAGTTTCTATTTACTATTTGAACATTCACTGAAGATTTAGCATTAGCCCATTCTGAGGGTGCTTAATGGGATGTTGGTCTCTCTGAAATCATGGCAAGGGCACGCTCATCCCCACTGGTGTGAGATTCCCGTGGGGTGATCCCAGGGTGGGCTCAGCCCTCAGGCATGCCTGCTCTGGGGCAGTTTGGTGTGTCTGGATGTGCCGCCTTTCCTCGGATTTTGGGTTTTTTCCCAGCCTTATCTGACGTGAACAACTGCAGTGGTTTTTCCACTACCCTGCCCTGGGCTGTGTGGATGCACCCAGCTCCCTCAGCCCCTCCTCATCAGGCTCCAGGCACTGTGACAGCCTTTAAAATGACATTACATCCCCTAAAGCCTTGATCCCACACACAGGCATCTCTCTGCCTCATGTGCATGTCTATTCCTGTCAGCAGTTCCTGATATTCAACATTGCACTGATCAGCACAGTGATGCACATAAGTAAAATTGGAATGCGTGTACACGTGTTTGTGAGGCAAGAGAAGGGCAGCAGAGCTGGGAGAAGGGTCTGGAGCACAAATGAGTGAGGAGCAGCTGAGGGAGCCGCTGGAGAAAAGGGCCCAGGGGAGACCTTGCCGCTCTCTCCAGCGCCCTGAAAGGAAGGAGCAGCCAGATGGGCTCCGCTCCCAAGCAGTCCGTGACAGGACGAGAGGACACAGCCTTCAGCTGTGCCAGGGGAGCTCTGGGCTGGGTATTAGGCAGAGTTTCCCCAAGAAAGGCTGATCAGACATCGGAACGGGCTGCCCGGCGGGGCGGCGGAGTCACCACCCCTGCAGGTGCGTGAGGCAAGCCTGGAGGCGGCCCTCGGTCCGCGCCCGGCTTGGCACGGCGCTGCTGGCGGCCTCCGAGGCCTCTCCCAGCCCGGGGGCTCCTGTGGTTCTCTGCGGTTCACCGACGCTGGGGCTGCCCGGGGCGGGGCGGCCTGTGACGGTGACGCTCCTCCAGCCCCGGCAACAAGCGCGGGGGGCGATGCGGCCCGCCGCCCCGGCACCCCCGGCACCCGGGAGGGGCGGCCCCGCTCCGCCCCGGCCCGGCCCCGCCCCGGCACGTCCGTGGGCGGGCGGGCGAGCGGAGCCGCCGCAGAGCCGCCGCGGCTGCCGAGCGCTGCGCCGGCCTCCCGCAATATGCCTCCGCTGCCCCCGGGCTGCTCGCCATGCCGGGCACCTGCGGGCGCCTCTCCGCGCTGCTCCCGGGGCTGGCGGCCGCGCTGCTGCCCGCGCTGCTGGTGCTGATGATGGGGCGGCCGCCCCCCGCCGCCGCCGCCGCCACCCGCCCGCAGCAGCAGCGAGCGGCGCTGCCCGGGGGCGCCCCCGCCGCGGCATCAGGTACCGAAACATTCTCTGCATCAGGTACCGAACCCTTCCCTTCATCAGGTACCGAACCCTTCCCTTCATCAGGTACCGAACTCTTCCCTTCATCAGGTACCGAACCCTTCCCCGCATCAGGTACCGGAACATCTCCTGCATCAGGTACCGAAATATCCCCCGCATCAGGTACCAGAACATCTCCTGCATCAGGTACCGAAATATCCCCCACATCAGGTACCGAACCCTCCCCTTCATCAGGTACCGAAACATCCTCTGCATCAGGTACCGAACCCTTCCCCTTCATCAGGTACCGAACCCTTCCCCTTCATCAGGTACCGAAACATCCCCTGCATCAGGTACCGAACCCTCCCCTTCATCAGGTACCGAACCCTCCCCTTCATCAGGTACCGAACCCTCCCCTTCGTCAGGTACCGAAACATCCCCCGCATCCGTACCGACCCCTTCGTCCCATCATTACCGACCCCTCCCCGGCATCCCCTTCCTCTCCTGCGGGATGGATTCTCTCGGGAGCCCGGTGCGGTGCCGGGCCCCAAAAGGAGCGCGGTCCGTGTTGGCGGCTGTGAGCGCACTGACCCGCACCTCGGGCCGCCGGAGCCTGGCCTTGGCTAGCGGCGCTCCAGGGATTCCTGTTGGCTGGCAGGAATGGCCACGGGGAGGTAGCGGAGCGTCCGTGGAATAGAAATATATATGAATGTATCATAGACGGGTATTTATTTCTGTGTATATTTCTGTGTCGCTTTAAAAATAAACCAGCTGATACGTGTGCGAGCATCTTGAGCCTGTCAAATGCGTGATGGGGCTGCTGAGCTCGTTAGTTTTTGCAGCCCCTCTGCAGATGCTTATCCAAGACCACGAAATAATGTGCATATTTCAGCTTCGGGCCTTAGTTTTGCAGTCAAATATTTGGGGGTACCCCTTTGCAGAACCAGAGCGAATGATGAGGTGTCTGTACTGTCATCTGGTTTAAAAAAATATGTGTATAGTCTGAAGTTCAGTCGCTCAAATGAGGATAAACCCAGTATTTTCCTTGCCATACTGCCTTTCACCTAAGAATTTCAAGATGATTTCAAGCATGAATTAAGACCTTCTAACACCGAGGCTCCATTTCGGGATATCACTGGAGCATATGTTTCGTTTTTAGCATATAGGCATGCTTCTGTTTCCAGTTGACTTCAGGAAGGTATAAAATGTGCTTAGTTTTAGGCAGATGGTTAATATTTTCCTGAATTGAAGCCAATTTCCAAAGCTGCCGAAGTATATTTGTTAATTAGGAAATACAAGCAGAGATATTAAATTGTAGTATTTTCTTGCAACATCTTTAAGATGTAGGATAAGTAACTAGATTTGATAGAAAATGAACAGAGTCTTAAATTTTTCTCTATGCGCTCTTAAAATGTCTTGATTTATTCTTCAGGTCTTTTTTGTGTAGATTTGTGGGTTTGTGTTTTTTATTATTATCCAAATATTAAAACTGTGGCATTTTGAAGAAGGGCGTTTGATGAACATCTCGATCCTTGTTGTTTTCATTTCCAATCACTGATGATTTTTCATTAGTTTGCTTCTTAATCATACTTTTAGTAGAATATACCATTAATCACCAGCAAACACCACTTAAAAGGCATTGGCAGTATTTCTGACTTGGGCAGTGAACATTTTGCTCATTAAAAATTGAGTGGCAAAAAAAAAAAAATAGGATGGTTTTTGTAATCGAATGATCTTCTTTGGTTTCAGGTATTGATTTCTTTTCAAGAAGCTCTGTTACCTTATCTCCTTCAGCCCTGGCCAAGGTCTTTGTTGGTATCTAACATTTTGATGTCTGTTCTGTTGGTTTGCTGTTGTTGCAGGCCCACGTGCCCAGCTCTTGCTTCTTTCTTTTATTTTCTTATTTGGCATCATAGGTTCTGAGGTATGAGAGTCCAGAAAGTGTCTTTTAGTCCACAGCTTGCATGTCCACTCTCAATTTATGAATGTTAAAAATTATCGTTTGAGTTGCCTGTCAGCATTTGTTTATATTAGGCTTAAAAATATAGTTAAAGGTTTATTTCACTTGTTGGCTGGATTTCTAAATTATCTTGATTAATTTTTTCTTTTATAAAAACTGAAAAAAGCCAATGGCAGACTTTGAAAAAGATAAGCTAACTGCTGCTCTGAAACCTTTATTGCTCTGAAGAAGCCGCTAAGCTAATTTGTTTTTTTTCTGTGGCATTTCAGCAAAGCATATAGGCAAGTTTTGCTTTATTAACATTTTGGACATTTTTTAGAAGGAGAACGGGACTCTAGATGTATACATAATGGATAGTAATGTCTTTTGCTGTTAAATTATCATCGGATGGCTCACAGCTGACGGGTAGGCAGGGTAAATGGCTGCAGGAGACTGGCAGCAGAGCCACCCCTCAGGGCAAGAGGCCACTGGTGCAACTACTGCTGCAGCTGCAGCTCCTGCATTGGGGCTGCCAGGCAGCTCTGCTTTCTGCCAGCGAGCAGGACCTGCCCCAGGCTGCCTCTGTGCAGGGATGGTGGCCCCAGAGCTGCCCCAGCACAGGGGGCTTATCCTGCCTGCCTGGGAGGGCACAGAGCGGGGCTGCAGTTCACATCTGACGTGCGTTCCCCTATCGATGGCCCTGTTCTGTCGAAGCTCATTATAGCGTTTTACAGATCAATTCCCTCCCGGATTAAGTGACTCCTGCCGGTGGGATTGCTGTGCTGCCCGAGGAGAGATGCTGAAGTCAGCACAGCTGTGTGTGTGGAGTGTCTGGGGTGCTCACTCTGTGCTGAGAAGGCAGTGGCACATCGTGACTGAGAAGGGCTTTTTGTCCATCTCTTTCTTTTCCCCTAAAAACAACAGCAAACTTGCCATTGCTAAGAGAAATAAGTAAATTCTGAAACAAGGCAGAGAATACTTACAAGAGGGATGCAGTTCATGGAGTTATTCTGACTCATCTCACAGATACAGGCATTCTTCCAAATCAAAAGAGAAAATCAAAAATTTGGAGAGCAAGAGAGACAGGCCTCTCTGGTTAGGGTGGTGTTTGCTGGAGTGGAGAACCTGCCTTGGTTCTTCCCTATGCATAGTGATTTTTTTTTGCATTTTCCATGAGGCAGTTTAGAAATCTGGGCTCTGGTGTGCAGGAGCAATTGAAGAGAAGCTGCTGGGAGCTTCAGATACTCATCATTAAGGTCAGCAGGCTTGAGCACAGAATTCAGTGAATTATAGTCCTGGCTCTGATCCAGACCAATCTGGTTTTGTTTTCCATGTTCCCTTTTCTTTATCTGTACTGAGGTGCATTCTTTACAGGAGCTGAGAGTTAGGTTCTTTAATGTTCATGAGACTTGGGCTATCCTGATGTGGGGCATTGTTATTCTTTCTAATGCAGATAGTGCTCTATAAATAGAGCAGAGACCACTAATTGAATAAGTGATAGTTATCTTTATCAGCTCTGTGGCAGGTCTGAGATGCACTGAATGTACATGCTCCTGCAGTAAAAGCAGCTGTGTCAGTGGCAACTGTCACATTACACAGGGTGACATACAGTATCTTCATGCTTGAGGTTTTTTACCATGTTGAGACTTTAGACTTGAACAATGTTTTAAAATAGGTGTTTTTTTCAAGTGTGGGTGGTCCTTGTACCTTTTGTAATCCCAGCATGAACAAGAAAAACATTGCCCTGTTGTTATAGACACTGCCAAATCTGCCTCTCCTTCCAGAATTCAGGGAAAAAAGGAGTTTATTTGGGTTTGGTGTAGGGTTTTTTGTTTGTTTGTTTTTTAAAGCAGATGGCTTTGCATGCAATGGGGAGATTAACTTGGTTCTGTAGGGTGAAATTCAAAAGCTGTAGCAGCCAACAGTGGTGGTGAACAAAAGAATGGGGGGATTTGGAATTGCTGGATGTATTTATTTGTTAATACACAAAGCCCTGTTTGTTGAGACAGATGAGATAAATATGTGATTGTTGACAAACCCAGAAGAAAATCAGAGATTACTTTTTTACCTGCTGGAGACAAATTCACTGCCTGTGGAATTCGATTCTGAGCCCATGTCTCAGCACTGTCTGCCTGCCTGTGATGATGAGAGGCTGCCTAATGTGAAACACTGTTGTAGACAAGTCATTTCTGGCTCAGAGTTTTCTAAACTCGTTTTTATGTTGTCTTGTTCTTCCCAATCATTCCAGTTGGAGGAAACTTTCTCATGCTTCCTTTTTATTTGAGACAAAAGAGAAACATTTCTCCAAAACAGCAACATGTGCAACTTGCTGTTTCTTTTTTTTTTTTTTTTTTAATTGTGGTGTTCCATATTTCTTGGAGTAGAATATTCTTCCTAATGACTTGTATATTGGTGTGTAGCTGATGCTAATACTTAGGTATTTAGAGGAGCATTTGGTTCTGATATCTTGTTACATTTGTCTGGGTTTGAATTTGAGCAATAACACATAATAATGCACTTAAGCCCATGGTGTAGTGTGACTGTATTCTTTGTCATTTGTTGGAACAATCTTTATGGTTTGCTGTCCCCCAAGTCACTGGATTGGGGATTAGTAGGGCAGCAATAAATCCAGTTTTGTTTTAGAGCTTTTGTTGCAGTCAGATACTGCAAGAAAATGAGTGAGGAATTAAGAGCTGTGTGGGAGATTCTTTAGCATTCCAGTAAGGAAGGGAATTCAGTCGTTTTCATGGCTCAGCAGTTATGTAGGATACAGTTCCTGCTCAAGAAGCCAGGGCTGTCTGAGTAGAGGCTTCTGATCAGAGCTGGCATTATTTGTTTTGTATGAGCAGCAACAAAACCCTCTTATCTTGTAGATACTGAAATATTACTGGTGTCAGGGAAAAGGTTTATTTTCAAGTTAGAAGTGTTACATGCACACCCCAGCCAAGTGGTTTAGTGCAAACAAGCTAACTCCACCTATAGAAATCAACTCAGAAAATGGCCTTTGATTTGCTGTTCATTTTTCTCAGGATTCTCAGCTAGGTGAGAAAGAATGGAAGACTTGGACATGTCCTGATTTGTTGGAGATGATGTCCTTAAGTATCTGAGCTTTCTGTGCTGTTCT